CAGATAAATGGAGACTCATTCTTTGAAAATATTGTCTAAATGCCTGAAGTTTGTGTGCAGAAATGAAATGCACAACCATTACTTTTTTAGAAGAATTAAGTCTCTCCAAAGTTACTGAAGATTTGCACCAAAAATGATTAACTTATATGCAGACATTGGACCTTATCAAAGTTGTACTTGAGTGGAGAATTAACCTTAAATTAGTATGTCAGTTGGGTTAATATTTTTAGATGCTCACACATGAACCTTAGACCAAGGATTTGATAGCTCATAGAGCTTGAGTGACTTACAAAAGAAATTAAGAATGTCTGACTGCCAAGTATTTAACAATACCAACAGAATGTTTCTACATAAGTTATGATTTTGTAAACATAGAATGAAGAAAGCTTAAATTAACCATGAGTGGACTTTCACACAAAAGGACTACATGCACACACTCAACAGGCATATACCTTATTTATGCTGTGTAATATATTTATCCAGTATTTCCTTAAATTTAAATTACATTCCTTAAACTAGTTTTCCCAAGCATAGTTTGGGGAAAGAACTAATGTAGTTCTTTATATAATTATACTTTATAAAACTTGTTGTATTGTGTTCTTTTAAACTTACATTTAACAATTTTTAAAACAAAAATCTGTGATGTGAGGGGAGATGAAAATGAAATGTAAAATAGATTTGCTTCTCAGATTAAACAAAATGCCCATTGCTAAAGGTCATATCCAGTTGGTACAAATGATTTGGTGAGACCTTATGCACATTAGCTGGATTCACACATTATACTAAGTTTTTAACTATAATTTCTTGTTGACCAAGAAAAGTAACCTACTTCATAAATACTAAAGCATACTGTAAACCATTGTTTTCAAAGCTTAGTGTCTGGTTTTAAATAAAAATGAAACAAATCACTTATTATTTAGTGTGATCTGTAGATCTAAATTTATTTTATTGTTTCTAATAATATCCTTGGATGCCAAACATTATGCTTTGGTCTTTAAAGATACATTTGTTTCTTTAGCTGTTATGTGATAAAAACCATTCTTGCTCCAAAATATCGAACCTATGTTATCCTTTAGTGTATTTGTTTGAATACTCAGAAATAATCCCACTGAGTGCAACAATTACAGAAAAATGGGTGTAAGGTGCAGCCTTTTTGTATTTTGAATATTGTATAAAATCTCAAGAATTTCAACTGAACTATAAATATTCTATAGGAGTAAAAATCCTCTTACTGCAATTAAAATCAAGTCTAGTTAATGAGATGTTTATTCTGGTTCCTCTCTTCTCTTCTTTCATTTATCTTCTTTTTAGGATATTTAGAAACTTTGAACAAAATTTGCTCTGAACTGTGAAGATAGAATAAAAATCAAAGTTCCAAAGTGATATTGTCTTTCATTACTAGGCTATCACATATTTGATGTTTTATAGAGAAAAGGGGTCTAAACCCCAATTATGAAACAGCAGCTTGTTTTTCCATTTGTCTAAGAAACTGAGATGTCCTGAGTGATTGTAACTAAATGTAACTAAATAGAAGAGAAAACAGAAAATAAGGGTGCCTTGTACTTTTAAAGATGCTGTTCAATAGTTCAGAAAGGACAGGACATCCTTGGTCTCTGTGTTGGCAATGGGCCATGAACTTGTTCTATATGTGGCATATGTCCTGGAAGCATAATCAGAAGAGTACTGATTAGCTCGTCAGACTGACCTGCTCATCCCATTCGTTTCAGTTCAGTAAGCATGCTGCTGCTAAGCTCAGCCATTTGGTTTCCGAGTCATGGGATCCCTGACGCAAAGGAGAGCACCCTTCTCCAAAATCTACAGGGTTTAGGACCATTACATCTGAGCACGGGCCCTGGGGCTCCAAATAAACTACAACTCCCACATCCTTAATGTGTGCTTCATTTGTTACAGCTACTGAGAGACAATGCAGCAAAATTTGGAAAGATCTGCACTATCCGAAAAAGTTAATAAGCTTCTCCTGAAGTTGCATACAAAATTATTTCATTTTTAATGTTGCAGCTATCACAACTTCTACTTTATCATGCATTTTGAATAAGTAGTATTTTCTGAGAAGCAAAAATACAGATTACCATAAAATGGTAACAATCTGATAGACAAAGTTGAAATTTGCCACCATCAAATGGCCAGAGTTTTGCAGTTCCTATCTGATAGCCCTAGTGTTTCCATAGGCAAAATGAAAACTTTGATGGATTTTGACTTGAACGATGGCAGAAAGGGAAATTGTGTATGTTTTAAAAGCTTACTTTAGAAGCTTAAAGTAGCATAGGGTATTAGTGAACAAAGCAAATGGCCTTGAAGGAGAGAAGGAAGATCTTCTATCAAGGCAGAGATCAGATAAAAAAAAATTGACCTCACAACAAGATAATTTGTGAAAATATCTGTCTGTCTGTCTCTTTCTCACACACTCATGTAGATTCTAATAAAGATAACAGAGGGAAGAAAACTAGCGCATTCAGACTTGCAAATTTTATGTTACTATAGCTATTCTATAGCTTTAGGCCTGCATGTGTCTTTTTTTCTGACAGGACCCTCTAAGTATCTTTGGAACTTTATTTCTCTGTATGATGACATATTATGCCATTACGTTATTATATAATTGTAATGTAAGTAATGGTTTTAATTATAGCATTAATGTGCCATGATCCAGAGATGTAGGGTTTTTTTCTCTCTCAACATTGGCAAGTCTCTGATTAAAAGGATGGATAGTAAAACCTGCAAATAAAGTGCCAATAGCAACATAGGATATCACATTTGTTCCGCTGTACCTAAAATTGATATCCATATCTCTAAGGCATAGAGTTTTTTTTAAAAAAAAGTTTTTATTTTTATTTCTCATAAACATATTTGAATGTACAGTCTCTTACCCATCGTAATTCATCCTTATCTTTTTATTTTCATTTTTCATTGTTCGGGGCTGCTCTTTTACAATTTACCCTTCTTTATTTTCCCACAACCTTTCCTCTTCTTCTCCCCTTCTCTTCCTTCTTCCATCTCTTCCTACTTTCTTTGTTCCTCCTCTCCTCTCCTTCCCTTTCCTATCTCTGGAAGCTTCACATGATTTTGTACAGTGTCCTGAGAATCACCCTAAAACTGCCAACATGTTATTACTGTAGACGTCAACAGGTTCTCTCAAAAAAATTCTGATACCTCACACAAGTCTGAAGATTTTAGTAATCTTCTGTGAAATATTATGAAAAGTTGCAGGAGAGAACCAGAAATTTCACGAGATTTTACAATCTTGTGCAGTTTTAAAATATTATTTTACTTGTGAGGACAGGAGTCTCTAGCTTTGCAGGTAAATCCGGATACTGCACTGCTACCCCATGCTCTCTTACATTTTAAGCTAACTAGTTTTAAAAGAATGTAACATTTTGCATGTGGATTTACAAGCAATTTATACAGGCCTTGTAAACTTATTGTTTAAAAGGTCAGATGAAATGTAATGAAAGCGAATGAAATGGGTGTCAGTATGAACCAGCTACAGACAAACCCAACTGCAATGTTATTCCTAAGGATTAATTATTATCATAATAATTAATGCAGAGTAAGTGTTTGTTTTTTTAGCTTACGAGGGTCACAAATTTTGCCAGCTGTTGGCAGGACTGATAGTTACCTCACATGCCAAGTTTATGGAAATAGAAATTTCAACAATAAAAGTGTGTTTCACTTTCTTCTTTCCCTAAAGGGTTATGGAGTGGGAATCACTAATAGAGCTGTAGCTTTCTTTTAATACAGGGGAATAACTGTAACCTTGTTGCTGGTATAATTACGATTTATATTGACTATTTCTTAATATGATTTGATTGCTTATTTGTTTCCTATGACTATCATTAAGTATCATTCCTATGACTATCATTGTACCTTATGATTCTTGACAAATATATCTTTTCTTTTATATACACTGAGAGCGTATGCACCAAGACAAATTCCTTGTGTGTCCAATTATACTTGGCCAATAAAGAATTCTATTCTATTCTATAATAATAATAATAATAATAATAAAAGTTTGCCATGATAAAGACTACTTAGGCATCGTGAAGGCAGAATTCTACACTTTCAGGTTTACTTCAGCCCAATGAACTTTTAATGTTTCATTATATGATGGCTTCTTAAATTATAGTACAAATATGGCATGATTTCTGATTCTAATAGAATCAGAATTTATATAAAAATGCCTAAATGCAGCGGCACAGAGAACAATGGGCCAAACTAGCCACACTTCCCCAATCTATTTCCCCCCAGATTTGTTTAAGTGCAACTCTTGAACTCTTAGTTAACTGTTTCAATGCAACTGAAGGGAAACATGTAGGAGTTTTGCCACATATATCTCCACCTCTCATGCTCAGGCCTTATCGTTAACTTGAAAAAACACATTCTTTTTTATTATAACATGACTTCCATACAATATTTGCATCTTTTATCTGAATGGTAAAGGCCTATGTTTTCTCAGGTTTTTTATTATGTGGCTGATATTTTTTATTCAAATCAATTTATCTGGCTGCCCTGCTCACTAATGTGAACCGGACAGCTTAAAAGGTTTAAAAATATGCCATTAAAAATACTTAACATGACAAATTAAAAACACTAAAAAAACCCATATACAAGCAAAGGGTATATGTGCTTGAGAAAATAGTCAAGTCTTCAGGTTTTTTCAGAAGGATGCACTGGACCAACCAAACCCTGGATAGGATTGTGCTCTAGAAGTTTTAGAAAGACACCTGCAGAGTCTAGCAAAGACATTAATTACCCTTAATTTAGTTCTACTGTCTAGACATCCCTTCCCATTGATTAACTATTGGGTATTGTAATCCAGAACATTTGGAAAAATTCACATTAGTCAATGTTTCTGTTCAGAATTTTTGATGCCTGATCCAATTATTTTTTCTTTAGTCTTAATTCAGTTTTGTAAAAGAGATTTTTCTAATACCATCTACAGCATCTCTTTCTCTGTATACTGTAAGTAAATATCATATCTTTACCTTTTATTTGATGGAAGATTACAGTGAAAAAAAGCAAACCATTCTGAACATGTCCAGGTAATCTTTGCTTCTTTGCTTCTCTTTTTCTAGTATTTTTCAACAATGGATATAAGATCCACATGAATTGGATAGAGGATAGTGCCAAAGCAACAGTATGCAAAAAATAATAATACAAATTTTAGCATATCAGAAAAATACTACTCTATTCAGAGAAACCTTTACAAATATGGCCTTATTTCATGAGTGTCAAACTCAATCATGTCACGTGATGTCACATGATATATTGTGACATTTTTGCCTTTGTGGAGCTGGGGTGGGCGTGGCCTGAGCATGATATATCCGGCCTGCGGGCCGCTAGTTTTTCATTAGACTAATGAAAAAGAAAAGTTAGAAGAATAGAAACAGCAAGAGCCAAAATACACTAGCATGTGAATAGCAAGCCAGAGTACTCAAGGAAATGAAATTTAGAGCATAGCTTTACTTTCCATTATATCATGTTACTTTCCAGTTGCAATTTTTCCTCACGGACTTAGGACAAGAACCATCAGTGACCAAACTGAAAACAAAATAATTTACATCTTCTAGAGCTTTGGTGACTGGATTTGGTGTTTCACCTAGAATCAACATTGTTGTAAAACCTGAAGTATACTCCTACCAGAGAAATGTCTTGTCACTAGGAGAACATCTGGATCCTGCCTACCCACCCATGCACATACACCTGTAAACTAACCGACAAGAAAGCCAGTTGTCACCTGTCACTTTTTATGTAAGAAAGTGTCAATGGAGAGATGCTTAACAAACCATGGATTTGTGGTTCTGCCCTTGAAACTCTCACAACTTAGTGAACCATTAACTGGTTAAATATGTGGAGTATTTCTGATGATGTGAGCAAACTGGTGCAAAGTGGCAAAACACACCTAGGGTAACATGAAGTTTTGGTATATAAGGTTTATTGAAATAAGTTGCATTTTGTTTGTGGCAACAGGGCATTAGCAGTCCTGGTCTTTTCTCCAATTCCTTTATTCCTTCATAGCTATTGAAATTGCATAAAATCCTTGTGATCATTCTCTAGAACAGTGGTCCCCAACCTTTTTATCGCCGCGGCCCGCTGAGCGCGCGCAGGGGTGGGGGCACGGCCCAGGAGCTTTTGCGCACAGCCCATTGCGCACAGCCCAGGAGCTTTTGCGCACGGCCCAGGAGCCTTTGTGCTGCAGCGTTCATGTCCCCCGGCCGCTGCGCGGCCCGGTGCCAGGTACTCCACGGCCCGGCACCGGTCCGCGGACCAGGGGTTGGGGACCACTGCTCTAGAAGACGACCAGTTCCACCTTCTCAGCTAGATCAACAAAAGAAAACAAAAGAGTTGTTTTTATAATTGTTTATAATTTATAATTGTTTATAATTTATAATTGTTCAAATCACACAGTTATTACATGTTACATGAAAATATAGGGGGGTTAAAGGCAGTTTTAAAAAGTTATCTTCCTTCAAACTGCATCAGCTACAAATAATCAAATTGTATCTCAAAAGTGCAACAAAAATGTGTGTAAGCGTAAATCAATTGTAAGTTCCCATTTAAAAGCTGACAAAAAGGAGGCTTGAAAATATTTCTTGGGGGAGATTCCACAATTGAAACACACATACACACACAGAAGAGGTCTGATAGCACCTTTTCAGATTGACATATTAGATTAAAAATATAAGTTTGTGTGAACTACAGTTCATTTGTTCAGTTGCAATGATGTAGACTGATGCAGCATTTAAATTGGGGTGGGATGAGGTGAGGAAGGAGGGAAGACAAAATACAGGGTGATAATTCAGATGCAGGTTACATGTGAGACAGATCAATTAAGAACTGTAATGTGTTAACCCAAAGGTTCTTTTTCAGGAAGCAACTGGACTTCCTTGTTTTTTCTTTGAAGATGTTTTGCTTCTCATCCAAAGAAGCTTCTTCAGCTCTGACAGGATAGTGAAGGATAGTGAAGAAGCTTCTTGGATGAGAAGCGAAACATCTTCAACAAAAAAACAAGAAAGTCCAGTTGCCTCCTGAAAAAGCATATCTGGGACAACCATGACCTGGATGACTGAGAATCTCTACAGACTTGTAATGTGTTAAGTATCCATTTTGTTTGTTGAGATCTTCAGATTGCCTGAAAGCTTTTGATGCATGTGAATTCCACAATCTTTCCCTCAACTGTGCTGGTAAAGTGTCCCGTCCTTCCCGCCCAAATGAGGTCTGTAGTGAAGATGTCCTGAAAGGATGAAATTCCCTGAGATTACATTCTGCTTATTTTGAGCCTTAATGTCAAATTGTGCCCCATTAATTCTTTTGTATAAAATTTTGCCTGTTTGTCTTTTGTAGGATTCAGAATGGCATTACTGGCAAATGATGACATATTGGAAGTGGAGCATATGACAACATCTCCAATCGTGTATGTGAAGTTGTTGGGGCTGTGATGGTGCTGTTGGTTATGTGAGGGCAAAGAAGACATCTTGTTATAGGGTGTAGTTCACATGTTAGCAACATTCTTCTGTTGGTTCTCGTGATCTGCTTCAGGTTAGATAGTGGTCTCCATGAAAGTATGGGCCTGCCACCCAGTGTCCGAATAAGTGCAGTGTGATTGTAAAAAAGGGGTTATAGCTTATTAATAAGCTTGAGTGACTTGATTTATGAGCTATAAGTGATAACCAGCATAGTGAAGGTCTGTTTTTGTGGTCTCTCTTTTAATAGCCCTCCTTGGGAATCAATCTGACTCTATTGATTTATATAATTGGATTGGTAGCTCAGTCTCCTGAATGCCTGGTTTAGTTCCATCAGTTGAACATTTCTGTCAAGTGGGTCAGAACAAATGGGACTGTAGTGTAAAGTCTGGCTATAGATGATGGATATGGTGGTGAGTTCTGGATGGCAGTTAGAAGTATATAGGTATACAAGGTGATCTGTAGGTTTCCTGAATGGAATGGTGTTCGTGTGTCTATTGTATAGTTTTACTATGACATCAAGGGGACATATTCTGTAGATTATGTCAAAGCAAGGTTAATGGTGGAGGAACATGGACATGAGGTCAAGATGGAATGAAAGATTCTTTTTCATGGGTCTAAATGAATCAATTAATTTCAAGTAAAAGATGGGTTTCAAGGAGTAAAAACTGAGAAAGCATTTTTCTATGTCAGCATGAAGATGTTGGCATATTTTAGAGCTCCTATGAATAGTCCTTCTAGAAAAAAAGAAATTAAGTGACTTTGTCAAACGGAGGACCATTCTACATATTTCATATGCAGGCATTTGAAATGTATACAGAGAGATGTGAACATTTTTTGAAGCAGAGACATCTCCTTCTCTTTTCATACCACGTTCAACTTCTTTATATATTACCTGTCAGAACACTCACATGAAAAATATTGCTCCTGATTATTAGTACATGGCAAGCTGCTGGCAAAAACTGAAAGATTTGCAAAAAGCCCTTCAGAAGCTGATGATCTTTTTTCCCTTGGAGAATTGTTAGCTATCATAATCAACAGACTTGATAATGAAATATTCATTCCCTAATATTGAAGCTATATAGAAAAATACCTGAATCTGTCTACTGGTCCCTGGATGTATTATTAGAACCCCAAATATAAATGAACTCCATTCTGCCTTTTAGCTGAATCATTTCCTTGCTGGTAAAGTTTCTCCTATATTTCTTTTTATTACATTTTTTATTTTATTTCTAAATTCTGTTTCTTTTGTCTACACAGCCTTTTTCCTATAAATGCTAACACAAATTCATCTGCTGCTATAATTCCTTTCATTCATTGCCCTCATGACTGTATATTTCTTTTAAAAGCATGTCTGCTAATGGTTTTATTAGTTGTTAAACTTAATTTTCATCGTTTCAGAATTTTTTACAAATAGGTATGGAAAATTCATACGCAAATATGCATTTCAAAGTCATGTTTTAGATGTAGTTTTTTTCTTAACATGTGAATTATCCCAATCCAAAATAAAACTGTCCCCCCAGGGACCCAAACAAGTATCAGCCTTCACAATTTGCAAATCTCTTTATTAGCAAAAATTTCCATTTGGGTCATTTAAGCTCCTGTTGTGATGATCTGAAGTTGCAGAATTCTAATATGTCTGAAACATGAAAAGGTAGAAATAAGATGAAGATAAGCTATGTTCCCCATCTCTTTCCTGGAACATGATGTTATTTCTTTGAAGCTTTTCACTCCCATTGTGAGTGTAGGGGGTGGCCAAAATTTAGGAATTCAAAGTAACTGAAGAAATATTTTAGAGAATGGAAATGGATGACAGCATGTCTTCTAGCCAGAGTCAGGTACATCTGGCACCAAATAATTAAAAGCTTCACCAAGGAAAACCACAGCTTGTCAAGGACTTGCACTTAATCCTCTGTTCTTACAGAATATTTGTGGGTTTTTCTTTTCCTTTTTAAAATCTTGGTCACCTCACTGGATATGCTGAGTGCATATTACATGTGGAACACTTGGCTTAGCTTCACCAGATGGTTTCTACAGCAGTGCTACGTTGCCCCCATGAGACATAATTTGAATAACATAAAACAACGCTGCTTACAAATAACCAATCTCATTTTATGTGTTAAAGCAACACTAACATATTTACCATCTTAGCTCTCTAATTTATTACTATCATTACTACTGCCGATTGCAGCTGTTTTTCCTGTCACACCTATTATAAGAGTTTCATCACAGTGGCCTATTATGCTACAGACATCTCCATTGCCATCAGAATAGCAGGGTGGAAAGGTGGCACATTACAATTGTTTAGTTTAATCCAATGGATGTCCACTCTAGTAAAATGAGTGGCCTCTCAGGTTATAGCAGGTGAATCAGATGCTAAACCACAATCTCTCTTTTAAGCAAAGAGTCTACACAGAAATGAGGTCTGTGGAAAATAAGCAGCTACATGGCATTCATGTCCACATATCCCATCCCATCTGTATTAGTTTTATGCAATGCAAACTTTTTATTATTGAAAACGATATAAAATTGTTTAATTGTTTAAGCAAAGTAATAATGAGCTCTGTTAATAGTAACTTTTGGAAAATTTAAAAAACTAATAAATAGAGAAT